TTGAGCATCTGTTCCTGTGCTATTTTTGCCTGTGTTATCTTCTTCAGTGAAATGTCTGTTCAAATCATTTGCCCATGTTTTTAAAAATTGGGTTACTTGTTCTCCTGTTCAGTTTTGAGAGTTCTTTATGTTTTGCTACAAGTCCTTTATCAGATATGTAACTTGCAAATATAGTCTCCCAATCTGTGATATATATGTTTTTTGCTTTTGTTTTCATTTTCTTAAGAGAATCTTTTCAAGTGAGCCTGTTTTTTACTTCCTAGGCTAATTGTTGAGGATATAATTTAACATAATACATTTTGAGTTTTCTAGGAACACACTACACAGAGTAGCCTTTTCTAGCCTTTTCTTGTTTCCTCAGGCTGTGGCTGCTGGCTTACAGACAATGGTGATCATCTTGTGGTAAATACAAATAAAGGCTTTTATGATGCTTCCTTTTGTGCTTTTTTTTACCCTCCATTTGCTAGCTATGTGTCCTTGGAGCAGTTACCAAACTTCTTTGAGAATTACTTTCCTGTCCTGTAAAATGTGAATGATGCAATTATGTCTGTCTGAGGGGTGCTTATAAAAAGGATTACATCCAATTATTTGATGTGGAAGCTCTCAGTAAATGGCAGCTGCTAATGACAGTAACAGTAAAGCAAAGCATGAATTTGGAAACAGAATATCAATTGAAGTAAAATTTACTAATGTGCTGATAACTGCTTGATGTGAACAAGTTTCTGAAGTACTCTCCTTCAAGTCAAGGCAAATACCTTTTTATTTATTTGATATTACTAAATTAAGAGAATATGCCTATGTACTGGTGCTTCTAGTCCAATCTTGTAATATGGTTGTTTTAAACTAACTATTCTTGGAGATTTTCAATAAAACTGATGTTTAGAAAACATCAATTAACATTGAAAACAAAAGAATACATTCATAAAAACAGCTTATGTTTTAGGTTCAATAAGCATCAGAACAACAAATTTAGAGAAAAGGCTTATAACCATCAAGGTCTGGTTCTGGGTGCCTTCACCTTCTGACTCCTCCACCAACTACTGGCTCTCTCTGTGTACCTCCCACCAGACCAGACAAGACAGAAATGCATATTGATTACATCCCTGGCATCTTCGCTGAGCAGACCTCACATGCGTTACATATACTCAGCCAGGATGACTGATGGACTTTTATCTGAAAAGGCAGTGTCGATGGCAGGGCCTCATAGTGGAGTGGGCTCCTCTTGGGTCAAAAACCATTTCATATTCATTAGCTAATCTGAGTAAAAATCCCATGAGGAAAGCTTTACCATCTCCATAATGTTATCTGCTGTCCATGTATCTTCTTTGATGAAGTGTTTGTTCAAATATTTTGCCCATTTTTCAAAAATTGGGTTATTTATTTTCTTGTTATTGAATTTTATGAATTATATATATATATATATATTTTTTTTTTCTGGATATAAGTGCTTTATCAGGACTTGTCTTTTGCAAATTTCTCCCAGTCTGTGGCATAGTCATTTCATTTTCTTGAGAATATGTGATGAACAAGTCTCTGCATCAGAGGTAATCTCAGTACTAAAAGTGTCTATTGACACCTAAAATGCTTAAATACCAGCTTTGTTAACTGCAAAGGAAAAAAAAAAACAAAACACCATGCGTACACATATACATTGCCATTACCCTGTATCTATATGTCTATATGTTTAGGCAAAATTTACATATTTATGTTAGCCGGGTTTTTTTTACTGGTTAACAGTGAGATAAAATAGCTCCCCATCTGAATCTGTGTTTACTGTTAGCACAGTTTCTTTTCCATGATTTCCATGGACTCCAGGATTGGGTGTGGGAGGGAAGAAGATGGTCCTCCTGCCTGGCTCTGTTTTCTGTCCCAACTAATTTGATTCATTTATGGAAGTCTGGCCACCCTGTACTTGTTTCCCCATACTATTTCTGACATGGACCCAGACACTTTCTCTGGTTCATACAGTGAAATTCTATATGCATAAAGATTGTATGCGGTTTTACTAAAGGTTTAGAAGATGTGGAGGAGAGAGCTTCATCACATCAGTTCACATAATTTCAAATTGTAGGTGAGACATCCCTGTTCTAAAAGTCCTTTATTCACCCCCACCAGGAATTTTTCTTGGTTTACCCTTATGCCAGAGAACATCATGGCTCCACATCTTCTTGGGAACTTCTCTCTGTTTCTTTTCTCAAAACAAACAGACATGCAAAAACAAGTTATAGGCATTTTACTGTCTTTTTGGTTACTATACTGTGTCGTTAATCTCAAGATCTCAACCTTTATCTCAAATGCTTCATAAAATATTTTTCTAAATAAAGAATATACCCTCCCTAAGAAGTATTCTGGTACCAGCTAAGATAATGTCAATTTCACACCTAATACATATCATCAAGTCAGCTCCGATTCCTGATTACCTCTTGTACAACAAAACAAAACATTGTTTGGCCCTGCACCACCTTCATGAAAGCTAGTATGCCAGAGTCCATTGTTGCAACTATTGTGTATGTTAAGTTTCTTCCAACCTTGGGGGCTCATCTTCTAGAACTGTATTGGGCAGTATTCTGTTGTGATCCATAGGGTTTACAGTGCCTAATTCTTGAAGTAGATTGCCTGGCCTTTCTTCCTAGTCTGTCTAGAAGTTCTGCTGAACTTGTTTACCATGGATGACTCTGCAGGTATTTGAATTACTGGTGGCATAGTTTCTAGCTTCATACCAACGCAGAAGCCACCACACGACAACAAACTGGGAGCAGGATGGTGGACTGTCTGTTTAGCATATGCAAATGTTCACAAATGCCATCTGCAGGATAGCCTCTCCCATTTTCAGTGATATTAATTTTAATGATCATTTATTTCTCCTGATATTTTGAATGGGCAACATGGTCAACTGTGGCACAGTAATTCTGTAGGAGAAGCTGGGCAGGCCTTTCAAGGGCTTCCCAGCCTTTCAGTTTCAGGGCCAGGTCAACAATTAGTCCAATCAGGGTCCACTGCTGTGAGAGTACTTCTTTACCAACCTCTGCATGGTCTAAACCCTTCCTACACTGCTTTTCTATATGTTGATCTTGTCTTGACTCCTAAGCAAAGGGAGCATGGCTGTGGAATGGCTCTTGGCAGTGCTGGAGAGTGGAGTAGTGTGTGGGGAGTTGGGAGAAAAAGGAGAGCTTGTTGTTTCCTCAGAGCTGTGGCTGCTGCTTAGAGACTATGGTGACAACTCACCAGGATGCCACTACTTGGTTCCACAGCCCATATAACACCTGCCTAGAGGCAGAAGAGGCAGTACAGAATCCATTTTCTACACAACAGTGTCTTCCCCGGAATTCTTGACTAACATAGGTTTCTTCACCTGAAAGCCGAATTCTTTAAAAGAAACTCAGACTTCTGAACTACTCTAAGAAAAACATGTCTAGATACAAATAAAGGCTTTTATGATGATTCCCTTTGTGCTTTTCTGAACCTCCATTTGCTAGCTATGTGACCTTGGGACAGTTACCAAACTTCTTTGAGACTTAGTTTCCTATCCTGTAAAATGTAAATGATGCAATTATGTCTCTCTGAGGGGTGCTTATAAAAAGGATTAAATCAAATTATTCGATGTGGAGGCTCTCAGTAAATGGCAGCTGCTAATGACAGTAACAGTAATGATAACCCCACTTTCCAAGGGTTCAATGCCAAGACAAAACCCAAGACATTTGGTACACGCTGACCATGCACCCAGAAGCACTCCTGAGAAAATTTTATTCTTCCAGTGGAAGCCCTGGGAAAAATCCATGCCCTTTTTGTCCCCCTTGAATGCCCTTTTCTTCCTGTGTCCTGGTTTTTCACTTGGCATGTAAATGGACTTCATCGTCCACACATGCCTTGGCTTTAGGGAATATATGGCTTCAGACATGCAGAGCAGTAGGCCAATAAGGTAGGATGTTCTTGGAATTCTGTATGAACAAGGCAGAGAGGACCTGAAAGAGACCTAATTTTCTGGAGAAAATGGAGAGAAGACCTAGCCAGATGACTTGGGTGTAAAGCAGGGTTCTTCTTCCCACTGGCACCAGTGCCCTGGAAGCTAATGGTGAACCTCAACTCCCTAAGAGACCCAAACATCTCTGCTGCCTTCTGAAAAGCATGATAAAGGCACTGTTGCTATACAATGCCATAAAATGCCTGGAACTTCTCACCCTTATGGTTAGGGAGCTCGCAGAGTCTTAAAATCCTGCTGAAAGCAGAGCACCTTGTGAACAACTGGGATATGTTTAGGGTAAACACAAAAACCAAAAACTCACTGCCATCGAGTTGGATCCACTCATAGCGACCCTTCCTTGGGTTTCTGAGGCAGTATCACTACAGAAGTAGATTGCCCAACCTTCCTTCCGAGGAGTGGCAGGTTGACATATTCCCCTGGCTACTGTTACAAGCAGCCAAATTCCAACTTCAGGCTCAGAAAGGCTGGGGCACAGAGGAGAAGCAGTGGGCTCCCCAGGTTCTAAGTTAAGAGCCGCCTGCCTATCTTTTCCCTTTTAACCCCCTTGTAGATCCAAGTCACATATTTTTCCTTACAAGATTCAGATTTCCTTATTATCTCTTACATTGTATCTTCCACATGGCTTCCTTGAATTTTAAATTCCTTGAAGACAGGGCCCAGAAACTATACTGTCCTATAGGCACATTTTACATAGACCTTCTAATAGGTGCCCAGCAATTTTTAATATGGATGGTTATGGATGTCTGTAATATTAAGTTGAAATTAAACAGCCATGTTGACTTTCATTTAGTAAATAATTTATTTTCCAAGGTAAAAGTTTAAATAAATAATAAAAAAAAATAACTTATTACATAAATTAATGCATAAATTAATTTAAAAAATAGTTTAAAATCTTTAACTGTCCTTTCAAAGGCAGTGTGTTCATGCTCCAGCACTTAGACTGTATTGGTTGAAGGATACCTGACATCGTTGTCAGTATTGTCCATTCCCAGAGGCACAGGCTGAGGAATTCTCAGTTTTATAGGTAATCTATAAGACTTCTAATGATTGAAAAGTTAATGAGGGTTTCCATTCGGACTATTGTCCAGGCACAGCTGCTGTAGTCCTTGGCTTTCAGGTACTGGATGATCCTCGAGTAATATTTCTTCAGGTGCACGAGGGTCTTGACGTTTCCCCAGGTGGAGTTGTCCTCCTCCATATATTCCTCCAGGATTGTATCCAGACGGTCCATCTGCTGATATAACTCGGCTCGAAGGTTCTCAATGACAGTTTCATTCCAGCCAGTACTGGAGAAATTTCTTCTGAAAATACCAAAGATCTGGTGCAACATCTCATAGATGATCAATGCAGTGTCCTCTTTCTGGAACTGCCTTGGTTGGTTAATCTCCTCAGGGACCTGGAAGTTCATCCTGTCGTCAAGGCAAGATTCAGGGTTCCCACTCAACTGCTTCAAGAGCTTCTGACAGGCCATAGCGCTGCGTCTTTGTTGGAATTGAAGCAGGTTGTAGCTCCTGAAAAGAGCTGTGGTGGAGAAGCACAACAGGAGAGCCATTTGGAGGATGCACCTGGTGGTCATGATGAAAGCAGGACCAAAGTGGCCTAGTGCTACCTGCACGTCCAGTGAAACCTCCAGGAGTCTGAATGTGAATGTCCTTCCTCCATGGGCATGGGCTATTTATATGGATAGTCCCACAGTTTTTCTGTTGCACAGGAATTTCCCACTTTCATTTCTCCCTTTCAGTTTCCTGTGTCACTTAAATCATTAGTATAGTCACTTTTAAATTATTAACCCCACTGCCATCGAGTCGGATCCAACTCATAAAGACCCTTCCTTCGGTTTCCGAAGTGGTATCACTATAGAAGTAGATTGCCCAAGCTTCCTTATTAGTATAGTATAAAACTCTTTTTCTGTAATCCCCTTACTACTTTATTATATATATGTATGTGTATATTAGAGAAAGAGATATACAAATTGTTAGGATTTCTAGTATTCTGTAAAGTGTCAGTGAATTGGTAAAAAAAACTAGTAAGGCCAAACCATTGAGAACTCTACTACTACAGAGAATGTTAATTTGAAAAGTTTTTTTTTTTCTTGCTTTTTAAGTATTATGAGATTTGCCTTTTACTTTTATTTATCTGGGGGTTATATTTTTCATAAGAATTAGATTTAATTCCCCCCACTCTATCACAAACAATAACATATATAGCTTGTGATGCTTTAAAAAAAGGACACCTACTTTTTTCTTATCTAAATTAGAATAGTGTTAAACTAAATTCACCTGAATAGATTTTTTTATAGCACCTTTGTCATGTACAAGATAGCACATAACTAATACTTAGCTGAAAATCTCAAACATCTGCAACTCACCTAAAAGCCAGGGGTTATGCAAGACCTCTGAGCAGAAAAAGAGAATGTTACACTGCCCATGAATAAGAGTTAATAGTTCCGCTCATAGGGGGGCTTTTGGCCATTATTCAGGACCTGTTTATTCTCCCTTGGTAATCCTTTTCTTCAATTGATGTGGAGTCACCTCCAACTGATGGTGCCCATATGTGCCAGAGTAGAACTGTGCTCCATAGAGTTTTCAGTGGTTGATTTTTTAGGAAGTAGATCACCAGGCCTTTCTTCCAAGTTGCCTCTGGGTGGACTTGAACCTCCAGCTTTTGGGTTAGCAGCCAAGTACATTAACTATTTGTGCCACCCAGGGACTCACTTGGTATATAGTTATAACAAACCTAAATGTCTGATTTTTCTGTCCTCAAGAAAATTAGTTGGAAGAAATTAGGAGAAGGCCTAGAAGCAATAAAAAGATCAAGCAGATGGCCCTTTCTCAGCATTTCAGAGGCCATTTTTGTGTTAAAGTATAACTGATTTTCATAAGAAAAGCATCAGTGAAAGATCAAATTATGATTTTTTTTATTCTGCTTATGTAGACAGGGAGATAGATAATACATTTTTAAAGAGGTCGATAAAAATAAGTTCTAATAATTATGGAAATTAAAGTAATGATTTTCAGTTTTCAGAAAAACTTGCATTATTTTTGAACCTGAATTTACTGACCCCTCATTGTGTGCAAGGTACTATCCTATGTGCTGAAGATACAGAGTTTATACTCTCATGGATCTTACAGTTAAGTAGAGAAGAAGAATATTCATCAAATAATTACACAAACGTAAAACAACCATGACAACTGCTACAAAAGTGAGGTGAATGGTGATGTGATATGGGATATAATCTAGTAAAAGAGGTCAGTAGTAGCAGGTTTCCCAGAGGTAGTGTCACTGGAGCTGAAATCAGAAGGTCAGATGGAATTGCATGTGCAAAGGAATGGCAGAATGCATGTTGAGAGCAAAGGACTGGACAAAAGTCATGGTGGCAGAATAAAAAGAATGAACCAGAGAATGGTGGAAGATGAGGACAGGGCAGATAGTATCGGATTATACAGGACCATAAGGCCATAAGGAGCCCTTGTGGCACAGTGGTAAAGCACTCAGCTGCTAACCGAATGGTTGGCAGTTAGAACCAACCAGCTGCTCCCCAAGAGAAAGATGTGGCAGTCTGCTTCCATAAAGATCACAGCCCTGGAAACCCCATTGGGCATTTCTAATCTGTTCTATAAGGTCGCTGTGAGTCAGAATCAATTCTATGTCAACAGATTTTTTGATGAGGCCATATTAAGAGGTTTTAAGTTAATTTAAAAAAAAAAAAAAATTATCCTAAAAGCAATAGGTGCCATATGAAAGGTTTACCTTGATTAATAGTTTTTTTGGGAAAAAAATATGGCTCTGACTATTTTGAGCAAAAAGTAATGGAAAGAGGGGAGAATGGATGCAGGCAAATCATTAGGACTTACCAATTCTTTAAACCAAGAGGCTTTTGATGAGAAGTAGAAAATAGGATGGATTCATCTATGTGAAATTTCTCATACCTGACAGCATCATGTTCAAATGCTTGATGAAATCCTCCATAATTTTATAGATAACTGCATCAGTTTTATTGTTTCAATCATTTCAGTACATGCTTATGTACAGGGACATTAATTCTATTATAACAAGCTGAAATACAGGCTGGAAGCACTTGGGTAAAGTGGATTTATAAGCTCGGAGCAACCTTGAGCTCTAAGCTCAAGGTTTCTCATCATCTCTCGGTTTCCTGTCTTCTGGTCTTTATGATATGCTTAACCTCTTCCCCAAACTTTTCTCCTTTACTATTCCTTGTTGCTGTTGTTAGGTGATGTTAGGTGCTGTCAAGTCACTTCTGAATCACAGAGGCCATGTGTACAACAGAATGCAGTGCTGCCCAGTCCTGTGCCATCCTCACAATTGTTATGTTTGAGGCCATTGTTGCAGCCACTGTCAGTCCTTTTTGCTGAGGATCTTCATTTTTCTCTCTGACCTTCCACTGTACCAAGCATGATGTCCTTCTCCAGGGACTAGTCCCTCCCAATAATAGGACCAAAGTATGTGAGACAAAGTCTCACCATCCTATTTTCTAAGGAGCATGCTGGCTGTACTTCTTGCGAGACAGATTTCTTTCTTCTAGCAGTCCGTAGTATATTCAGTATTCTTCCGTAACTCAAATACATCAATTCTTCCTTATTCATTGTGCTGTTTTCTATGTATATGAGGCAATAGAAAATACCATGGCTTGGATCAGGCACACCTTAGGCCTCAAAGTGACATTTTTGCTTTTTAACACTTTCAGGTGGTCTTTTGTAGCAGATTTGTCCACTGCAATATGCATTTGACTTCTTGACTGCTCCTTTCATGGGTGTTGATTTTAGATCCAAGCAAAATGAAATCCTCGACAGCTTCAATTTTTTCTCCATTTATCATAATGTTGCTTATCGATCCAGTTGCAAGGAGTTTTGTTTTCTTTGTGTTGAGGTGCAATCCATACTCAAGGCTGTAGTCTTTGATTTTCATCCTAAGTGCTTCAAGTCCTGTTTGCTTTCAGCAAGCAAGATTGTAATGCCACATTCTTCATATGGTGAAGCATCTCTGATTATTTATTTCCTCAGTAAACAGATTGAATAAGGGTGGTGAAAGGATACAACCTTGATGCACACATTTCCTGATTTTAAACCACACAGTATTCCCTTGTGTTCAAACAACCACCTCTTGCTCTATGTACAGGTTCCACATGAGCACAATTTAGTGTTCTGGAATTCCCATTCTTTGCAATGTTATCCATGATTTGTGATGATGCACATAGTCCAGTGCCTTTGCATAGTCAGTAAAGCACAGGTAAACATCTTTCTGGTATTCTCTGCTGTCGGTCAAGATCCAGCTGACATCTGCCATGATATCTCTCATTCCACACCTTCTTCTGAATCTGGCTTGAAGTTCTTGTGGTTCCCTGTTAATGTACTGCTGGAACTGTTTCTGAATTATCTTCAGTAAAATTTTACTTGCATGTGATATTGATGATATTATTTGATAATTTCTGTATTTTGTTGGATCACCTTTCTTTGGAATGAGCACACATATGGATCTTTCCATTTGATTGGCCAAATAGCTTTCTTCTAAATTTCTTGACATAGAGGAGTGAGCACTTCCATTATTGCATCTGTTTGTTTAAACAGCTCAATTGATATTCTGTCAATACTTGGAGGCTTTTTTTTTTTTTCTTTCCCCAGTGCTTTCAATGTAGCTGGGACTTCTTCCCTCAATACCATTGGCTCCTGATCATCATATGCTACCTCCTGAATTGGTTGAATGTAGACCACTCCTTTTTGGTATAGTGACTCTTTGTATTACTTCCATCTTCTTTTGATGCTTCCTGCATTGTTCCATATTTTGCCCATGTTGTTGTTAGGTGCCATTGAGTTGGTTTTGACTCATGGTAACCCTATGTACAACAGAATGAAACACTGTACCATCCTTATAATCATTTAACCATACAATCCTTCAATATTGCAACTCTAGGCTTGAATTTTTCCTTTAGTTCTTTCAGCTTGAGAAACATGTTCTTACCTTTTGGTTTTTCTAACTCCAGGTCTGCACATTTCATTATTATACTTTATTTCATCATTTCTTCTGTTAGCTTTAGCTACTTTACATTCAGGAGCAAGTTTCAGAGTCTCTTGTGATAACCATTTTGTTCTTTTCTTTCTTTCTTGTCTTTTTAGTGGCCTTTTGCTTCATATATGATGCCCTTCATGTCATCCTACAACTTGGCTGGTCTTCAGTCCTAATGTTCAATGCATCAACTCTTTTCTTGAGATGGTCTCTGAATTCAGGAGGAATGACCTAGTGCCTAATGCATCCAACTGCTAACCAGAAGGCTAGTGGTTCAATCCCACTAGCAACTCCTCAGAAGGAAGGTTGGGCAATCTACTTCCATAGAGATACCACCTCAGAAACCCAAGGAGGGGTCACTATGAGTCAGATTTGACTCAATGGCAGTGAGTATGTATACTCAAGGTCATACTTTGACTCTTGTGGAATTGTTTTTTGTTTGTTTTTTTTTTTTTTTTCTGTTTCAACTTGAGCTTTCATATGAGCAATTGATGGTCTGTTGTACAGTTGGACCCTGGCCTTGTTCTGACTGATGATATTGAGCTTCTCCAATAT